TATATGTATATGTGTGAGTGATTTCTATATATATATATATATGTGAGTGATTTCTATATATATATATGTGAGTGATTTCTATATATTTTGATTCCTTTTTATTTATTTCAAAGTAAATTAAAAGAATGAATACAAGTTTATTTTGTATATACATAAAAATTTCTTTGTTTTGCATATTACATTAATGCAATATATATATTGCGTTAATGTAATTTACAAATTAACTAATAATAAACCGACTATTTTACAGTGTTTTCAGAAATGTCCCCTTTAGCAATAAATTATAAATATAACAGAAATTTCTGTCAAAACTTGATGTGTCATATTTGTCTTAAATTCAAGACACTTTTTTTTTAGCAATAAAACAAAATATAACTAAAAGTTCTAATCAATACACAATGTCTTAGGAATGTTTGACCTTAATGGTTTGTTTTCACCCCAGACATTGGATATGAGATAACGTGTATTTCCACAGATATTGCTTCCATAGTGTGAGCTCACCCTTAATATATTATTTGAAGTGCAGCTTCATATTGCCTGTCGATTTTTATTGGTTAGATAAACTTACCAGCTGTATTTCAGATATACATTAGCCTGTAAATACAGTAGTGGTCACATCTTATTGAAACACGGATAAAGAAAACTGCACAGTGATGCCACATCTACTGCATTTGCTCTTGAATGCAGAGCATAGAATTACTATCTAATATTACTGTGAGGAAATAAAACCACTCTCATTATTTTTCCGTTATGTGTGGTATCTTCATGGTCGCATTTGCCATTAATTGAACAGAATGAATGTGAAAAAAAGGAAAACATGAAAAAGCATGTTAGTTAAGTTGCTTTGAAATCCGTGTAAAACCCTGTAATGTGCATTTACAGTTCAATGCACCTGCCATTAACTGACCTTCTCACATAGACGTAATGCCCTTTGAACCCACGGACTTCTGCACATTTGGCATTTTCCCATTCGACACATATCTGTGTATAAATATAACCGAACCTTTCGATATTAAATAAGTATTAGTGATAACCATCCAAGCGAAAACAGCAGAAATCTGATGTTTAAACTTTTTACTGTTATTTAAAAAGCCTCTATTACTAGTCTTTATCAGCCATTTGTAACATTTTGAGTGTAATCTGTTCATCTGATAAACTATGCTGATGAAACAGGCAGCTGCTGCTTTGAAGACTGCTTTAGAGGGAAGGACTACTTGTCTCATCAGTGCTGGCACAGTCTGTTTTTTTAGTGAAGTATCATGTTTTGAACAGCAGGATCAGCTTAGGGTTTCCCTCAGATGTCTCTTTCTGTTCCTCTCGTTTTGCCTCTCCTCGCTTTCTCAATCTTCTGAGACCTAGACATGTAATGCAAATGAAAAACTAAATGGGGAAAAATTACAAATACAAATTAAGTCATTTTTGACAGTTTCCACGAAAAGAGTAGGTAAGAGTAAAAAAAGAGTAACTTTTTAAAATAAATGGTCAGTTATGCTTAACCTCCATAAAATGTTGATCGTACAACCAAAGAAGGTCACTATTAAATGAGCTGTATACATTTCTATTTATTTTATTCATCTAAATTAAGCTTTCACTCAGTAGGGGTGAGCTATAGTTTGGGATCAAATATTTATTTGATCATTTTTTTTCATGTAATGACATGGGTAACAGGGTTGAATGCTTGAAATACAGATGATTTTACTTCTTGACTGTGACAATTAAAAAACAATATTTATTTATTTATTTTTAGTTTTAATGAATTAATATACACTACAATTCAAAAGTTTAGGGTTGGTATGATGTTTTAATGTTTTTGAAAGAAGTCTCTTATGCTCACCAAGGCTGCATTTATTTGATCACAAAACAAAACAAATAAAATCAAATCAAACAAAACACAAAACAAAACAAACAACAAAAACAAAACAAAAAAAGCTATATTGTGAAATAATATTATTACAATTTAAAATCTGTTTTAATGTATTTTTAACATGTCATTTCTTCATGTGATGCAAAGCTGAATTTCTTCAGTTTCACATGATCCTTGTAAAAATCAATGTAATAAGCTGATTTGGTGCTCAAGAAACACTTATTATTATCAATGTTGAAAACAACTCTGCTGCTTTATATTTTTATAGAAACTGTGACACATTTTTTTAAAGGGGTCATATGATGCTTTTTTAAAGATCATTATTTTGTGTATTTGGTGTAACAGAATATGTTGACATGCTTTAATGTTCAAAAAACACATTCTTTTTCAAATACTGTACATTGTTGTAAGTCCTCTATGCCCCGCCTCTCTCAAACACTTAATTTTCTACAAAGTCCCTCCTTCTGACAAGTGCAGTCTGCTCTGATTGGCCAGCTGACCCAGTGCATTGTGATTGGCCGAACACCGCAAGCACTCGTCGGAAATGTAACGGCCCTTACCATAATCGCCAGCTTCATCTTTCAAAATAAATGTAAAGACAGAGCCTGAAAGGGGAACAGAGTCGCGTGACAGACACAGTGATGAAGCTGGTATGTGTTTGCAGTACACAAGCCACGGTTAAGACAGCTGACTCCACTGTGATGTATTAGTAAATAGTAAATACTTAAACTAATAACAAAACAGTCACTGATTCAGAAGCGCCAGATTGTCATAGCAAAGTCAGAATGACCTCCTCTCCTAGGTTCACGAAACGGTCGTCCATAAAATGCATTGCTGTTCTGTTGTAAGTAATCTTAAAGATTCCTAAATGCATCTACTTTCGGAAGGCCAAATAAAGTGCTTTTGCTTTCACCTAGAAACACACAGCGTCTCCCTGACATGCTGCTTCAACACTAACTGCGGTTACTGAAACCACACCTTCTTTCTTTGCGTGAACATTTGGGCGGCATTATGCAAATATTTCCACATAGTGAGGTAGATATGTGGGGGCATGTTAGAACGAGCCGTTTTAGGGGGGCGTGGCAGAGTCTTAACTTTGATAAAGAATATCTCTTTGGGTTTGTGACTTTAGTCTTTGCAACTTCAGGGATTTTATCTATGCACAAACAGCTTGTAACACTCCAAAGTGAAAGGAAAACTTGAAATCGCATCGTATGACCCCTTTTTTTAAGGATTCTTTGATGTATAGAAAGTTCAAAAGAACATAATTCATTTACAATAGAAATCTTATACAATTATATATTTTTTTACGGTCCCTTTTGACCAATTTAATGCATCATTGCTGAATAAATGCATTCATTTCTTTCAAAACAAAAAATCCTCTAAGGTGGGACTGGCAAAAATCACTATTTTAAATGAGAGACACAAATGTTTAAAGAGCAGGTCATATGGGTTTTTGAAAAATATCTAATAAATAAAACTTTAGCAGTTTATAACGTAGCTATCCTTAAATGAAAACAATCTGCAAAGTTGTTAATCAAAAAAGTGCATGATAAATAAAGATATTGTCTCAAAAGAGAGAGTCGATTCTGAATCGCCTTAACGAGTTAATGGTATACATCACTGGGTTAACACATTTGCATAATCCCCGCCTGCCTGCGAGTCTGACCTGCCCACAAACACTTCCGCTAGTTAGTGTGTTTACATCATGTTGAGAAGACGCTGTGTTCAAGGATACCACAGAAATACAATTCCAACCTTTTGTTGTGTGTATGTCATTTTACCAAGGACTGCTTCTCTAATCTTGGCTTTTATCTTCGTTGGCTTCTAATCTTCTTTATTTGGACTAACAAGCTCTCCGAAGCATAACCTGTAAGTACGATTTATACGTTATGTGTACATTTTCAATTGAGTGCTCAAAATATCTA